TGGTTTTGGTTTTGAGAGGAGTCGTCCTGCTATTGTTTAAAAAACATTGTGAAACTTCTGGGCAGATGGGTGAAACAAACATTATGTATGCATTATACATGGTTCTTAGTTTTTCAGCTGAATTGGAAGAAAATGGTGAAATATCACTTTAGCATTGCTTACTGGCAATGAAGTTGGAAGCTGATGTGTCCACGTCATTCAGCACCGGATGCTACTTTTGTTAGTGACCTGGTGACTAATCACGTTGTCTCCTCTCTGAAACAGCTATAACGATTTACCTGGCTTAGGATTCTGTATTTTTATTTTTTATTACTGCTTTTGAGTGACTCTTGGCATACTTGTGGACGTTCATTAGGCAGAATTGTAATGCTGGAGATCCTGTAGCTTGAGAAAAAAAGGAATTCAGGAGCTGTCTTGTTTTCAGTAGTAATAAGAGAGGCCATTATCTTTTAAAACTTGTCAAGAGAAATAAAAAGATTTATGATATATGCAAAAGTATAATGCTTTTTTTTTTTAAAAAAAAAAAGCACTGGCAAAAAAGCCAGTATATTTTTCTGTATCCTGGCATTTCAATATCCATCAATTAAAGTAAAAGAATTAGCTGCCACTGGTTTCATTGGGAAGCAGTAATGAAGATTACAAGAAGCCTTTTTAATTGATGCATTTTTAATGTTAGTCTGTAAAACAAACTTAAAGCCAAGAACTTTATGTGTAGATGGAAAAATTCTTTTCTTTACGTCTTTGTACTGAGAGCAATACAGTCTCTAATGAAAAACTTAGTAAGCAGTGCTGTGCGACTCTTGGGTGGAAAAAGATGCTGGGGGCTGAGTCTGTATCCTTATTCATGTCCCTAAGGATGAATCCTTTTTGGGATTGGCTCTTGTGTTTGCCTTGTAGATGTGACAGGAGTTAGCCAACTAGACAGGAGTTAAGACCGAGTGACACAGGAGGTTAAAGCCCTCATTCTGCACAGGATTTTAGAGCTCAGTTGAGGATCTTCAGACCTTCCGCAGTTGCACGCAGGAGTCAACTATGGAGCTTTCTGCTTCTTGACTGTGAAGGCTGGTGACTCTGTTAGAGCATGGGAACTCCTACCTAGGCCAGAGGAACCTAGTCTCACTTCAGCTTTTCTGTCCAACCGCATGTCTCACCCCGGTGGGAACAAGGGCAGCACATGCATTTAGTGCCAGACAATAAGAAATGCGTGTGGATTCCCTGATCTACAAGGAGCTTGTGAGTGCAGGATGCCAACTCTAAATCCCTAAATTACACCATTCTCAGTGGAATACTTAGCAGGTTCATGTTTCTGCATTTTAAATGTACTTGTTGAGGTTCAAGTATATGCTTTTACGTAACAGCTTTTAAGAAAGGACTCTGCCTGATGAATACTTGTGAAATGTAAAACTATCTGAGGACCCACAGAAAGCTTCTGCAACATGGGCTGATTTCTACAGTCATGCACTGTCCCCTCCTAGCACATTACTCAATGATCCTGGCAGCAGAGTCAGTATTTTCCCATGGCAGCTGTTAAGAGTTTTTCAGCCCTCGTATCCAGTATTGTGCTTCACTCCACCACAGCTGCAACTGTACTAATAAATTAAACACTATCAATCACTGTCACTTTTGAGGCCAGCAGGCCTGAGACTGCCTCCTTCCATTGCTAGCAAACTTTTTTGCCTCCTAAAATGGGGCAATTGCGTCCAAAATGGGAGTTACTTGTGGTTGATATTCATTCCCGGACCGGGAGTTATTTGGGAAAGTGCTTTTTGAAACAGGTCAAAACTATTCCAGGAACTGTTCACAGAATCACGGAATCACAGAATGGTAGGGGTTGGAAGGGACCTCTGTGGGTCATCTAGTCCAACCCTCCCGCCGAAGCAGGGTCACCTACAGCAGGCTGCACAGGACCTCGTCCAGGCGGGTCTTGAATATCTCCAGAGAAGGAGACTCCACCACCTCCCTGGGCAGCCTGTTCCAGTGCTCCGTCACCCTCAGAGGGAAGAAGTTCTTCCTCATGTTCAGACGGAAAAACTGTTACCAGAATATACATGGCTGAGTTCCCATGCTAAGAGTATTGCCTGGTGCCATTAAACATACCAGTATGGGAGTAGCCTATTTTAATTAGGAGAGCAAAAGGGTTGTTCCCAATGGTGCAATGGGAAACAGGGCTACCAAGAAAGACAAAATACCCTTGGAAAAAACCAGTTTAACCAGTGCTTCTGAATGGCTGTCTTCCATTCACCCTGATGCTTAGGGGTAGTCAGAGCTCAGGTTAGCAGCCTGTTAGGAGGGTGCCATCTTCTTGGTTTGCCCAAATTTTGGATCTCCTTTTGCCTAGTTATTTTTGAAGGCTATCAGGATGCTGCTGTATTCAAATTACTCCCTTCAGCTCATGCCCTGCTTTCCTAAATATTAATGAGAGGAGCATATTTTATTAGCATCTTTGATTAGCCCTGGAAGTTTTAGCAAGTGAGTGAGATGTTTCTCCAACTGTCTGAATGTGGAACACCTATGGACACTTTGATATGCTGATTTCCTTCTGGAGATAATATTTTTCTCTCTGGAACATTAATTGAACTGTCATCTCTCCGACTTCCCCCTTTCCCTGCAGCATGGCTTATGCTATCCTCTGCATTGTTATGCCTTTAGGTTTAATATTAATGAAAAATACCGTTCAGACAATATTTTGACAGTCTGGCAACTCCAGATGCATCGCTGCGTTTCTATAGAGAGGATGCACAATGAATTAGCATATATGACTGACTTGACTGAGTTTGTCTTTAGTCAGGTTCGGAAACTTGAGTCCCTTTCTTGTGATAGGGATGCTTCATTAACGTATCACTTAATTTGGCATAGTAGAGTGTTTTCTGTATTAAATGACAGTGCACAGTCTTGCTGAGAAATTTTATTTGCTTCCACTCTTGTAATAATCTTTTCTAATACTGAAACTGAGTTAGCTTTTCATGTATCAATGTGCTGATATGGGGAAGGGAGTGTCTTAACCCTCCACCCCATTTTTATGCAAAGAATGAGAACTTCCACATACCCCATGTCACTCTTTTGCCATCCATAAGAAATTAAGACATTCATCTATACCCCCCAAGTTGCCAGATATTTCTTTACAGAGCTACAACCTTCTCAAATATATTCCAGACTTTCTGTAGGAGTTCTTAGTTTTTCTGGTGTAGAAATAAACTATTATCTTAGCAATTTTAGTGTAGGTAAAGAAACACATAATCTGCAATTTAAAACTTCAAGTTCACAAAATTATTATATGCAATTTCACCATTCAACCACTCATCTTTCAAGGAAAATTTTGTGTGCTTAATGCTTGAGTAAGAAGAGGCTATTAATTCATTTAACCTTGATATAAAGGTGCTCTGTAGATCAGGGAATCTTATATTTCACTTGATTCTTTCTGTATTGTCCATTGACTGAGGTCCATGTTAACTGCCCAGGTAATGGAGGAACAGGAGTGAACTGGGAATGCTCACACTCGAAAAGCATAGCTTATGTCCTGGTTTCAGCTGGGATAGAGTTAATTTTATTCCCAGTAACTGCTGTGGTTTGGATTTAGTATAGGAATAATGTTGATAATACACTGATGTTTTTAGTTGTTGCTAAGAAATCAAGGACTTTTTCCGTTTCCCGTGTTTGGCTAAAGAGCAGGTGTGCAAGAGCTGGGAGGGAGCATAGGCAGGCAGCTAGCCCAAGCTGGCCAACGGAAATATTCCATACCCTGGTGAGTGAGTGGCTGCGTGGTCCTAGTTGCTGGGTTAAACCACAACAGTTTGCTATGGCTTGATCAAGTACTCTGCACCTGAAGTGGTAACATAGTTTTGTATTCTGTAGAGTAGCACCGAAGAACTTGTGAGTTCTTGTTCTTTTCCCCCATTTCTCCTCAATATGCCCACTGACCAGCAGGTCGAAAAACGCATCTACTCATGATTTTGGTTCATGGTGTGAAAGATAAAAGCACACTTGGGTGTCTGTTTCAGCAGTTAGTAATCATCACTCTTTGGCAGCTAGGGCTTTTTCTCCACGGTTGAGTAGCTGTCTTTGGTAGTGGCATCTTCTCCACAGAGCTAGAGGGTAGCCGTGTTAGCAGAGTAGATCTGCATGTTGAATGCATCTTGAAGCACCCTTTCTGCTCTCACTTCAGTACTTTCATGCTTTCCAAAGCTGTATGCAGAAATAAAATTGCCTCTTTCCTCTAACTCTATTCCTCTGAGTGAACAAAGACCTGAACAGATATTCCTGGGACTGCAGGTTAGGAAAGTGATTTCTGATCACTGCGCTGGAGCTCCTATTCTTAACATCTGTTTATGTTGTTGCTTGTGACTTTGTTTAACTGTACTTGGTTGAAACTGTGAGCAAAGTGATGCTACTTTGAAAATCTGGTTTATAAGGGATGCGGTCAGATAAATAAAATTGCCCTTGCCAGAACAAGAAATGACAATATTGTGCAATTCTGCTTCAAATAAAGACAAGCATTTTCTTTTTCAATGCTATAAAAAGCTTTGAAGTCTTGCTGCTTGATTAAGTAATCTGTTGTAAGGGTTCATTGTATAAACTGTGAAGGAAAATTCCTTACAATAATCTTTTAAATTACTTATCTGAGATTTATGGATCTGGTAGAAGGATTTGCAACAATACAGTGAAGCAGTTGCATCCTGATGAAGTCTGATGGTATGCGAGTCTGTGTTTTAGGAGCTTTACAATGAGGAAAGAAAGCATAGCCACTGTAGACCCCAAATATGCATATAACGGTAATTGCTATCTTCTAAATTACTCCTAGCAAATGTCGTATCTACAATATAGGTTCTATATCCTCTGTACCATTTCATTCTGTCTGTCTCCATAACCTTTTGTTCCACCTGTGATGTTTTTCAGCAGTCACATGATAAAATGTCTAGGCTAGACTCCAAGGGAGGAATAAAAATCTGTATTTATTTTTACGGAAGCACTAACAATTCTATTTGGATTGGATTTCTTCATAGCAAAACCAATGAATTATTGAACAGATTGGACTTGGGCTTGCCAAAGAGTGATTCCTGTCAGATTGCTAATCGTGGCCCAGAATCTACAGTATGGGTAAGCAAAACCATGGCATGTGCAATATTTCTGTCAGCTTTCCAGGTGCTGTCAATAGTGTAATATTAGTATATTCTAATTGAGCTTAATTGCCTAGACATAACTCAGTGAGTAGCAAGGAGAGTTTCTGGGTGAAGGAGATTGCCTGCGTTGTCTCTTATACACTACATAGTAGGGGACTGCCTTTATTACTTACAGAGCTCTCTCTGATAAATGAGAGTCAGATTTATATTCTAAGGTCAGATCAGAATCTTAAATATGCTCTGTACCCATCAGCTGGTAGCAAGCTTTTATGAAATTTCAACTAGTTCATGTCAGTGGGTGCTTTACTGCATTGAAAATCTAGTCAGAGAAGAAGCTTATTTCTCACTGCATCCTAAAAGTGATTCCATAGACTGCTTGGGGACTTTGTCCCAGTTTGAATAAGCCTGGTAAGTATCAATGTCATTAGGAAACAGAGAAAGTATTGCTTAAGTTTCATTATTCTAATTGCCTCAAAAAAGGCTTTTTCACATATGATTAGTCTCTTCCTGTCTAAACCAAGCTTTTCTACTGATATGAAAACTTGCAGTGAGGAATATTAACCCTGAGAAAGAAGCATTTCTCCATTAGGGAGGTTTGTCATAACCCTGAGAAAGAAGCATTTCTCCATTAGGGAGGTTTGTCATTGAGTGAAGACAGAGAGCAGGCAGCCAAGTGGACAGAAATTGTTCTTACAAGCAATAGTCCTTAGTCAGCAGAAACTTGGAAGTATCTAATCTGAGCAACCCTCTCTTATGTACAGCCTTGGACACCAACAGTTTGAGTAAAGGGAGGGCAAGATTTACCTCCATGTTTCCTCGGAGCCCTGGAAATGTGCAAGACCCTCCCCTTACAGAAATTGGTGCAAACAGAATATATGACAGCTCTGTTTTGCCTCTAGTGTCTCTTCCTGGTTTTCAGTTGCATGAAAAAGGAAGGTGATACTGAACGTATGTTCCTTTCCCATTTGGTTCCTCAGGTCATTTTGTGTCTCTGAAGCCCAGAAAGAAATCTTAGCATATGTGGGCAGATTTATAGCTTGGAGGAGCCAACTTCTGCCCAGCATTCCATGGACAACTTCAGGAGAGTGGCTTTCAGACTGTCTTTTGCAGTCCTGGGCAGACAAGCAAGATGAAGGACTATGGGAAGGGAAGAGAGACGTCTTGAAACCCCTCCTTCTTGAAGCATCCAATGCTCCAAACAGTGAGGAGCTTATTCTTTGGTAGGGAAGACCTAGCTCTGCAGCCTTTCATATGGTGTGAACATTGAACTGCAAAGACAAGTGGGCTCATGTCCCCAGGACTCACTTGGATTTCAGCATTTTAGTGTGGTGTCTTCATATCTATACAGAAGTGGATGGATGCCTGAAGGAACACAGAATTTTTTCAGGCATACAGGTCCCTCTTTTAGCCTTTGCTTTTCAGCCTATGTGTGCCTTCCTCATTCCAGTTTTTGAGTGATTTCTTAGTAAGTTACACCAAATTACATACTATAGTTCATCTTTGGCTTGACCAGTATCCAAGCAGATAAAATACATAGTTTATCTGTACTGGTTTTTATTAATATCAGCTGGAGTTGTACATGTCTTTTGTGTGGCAGCATTTCTATAGCTTTGTGACTCAATCACTTGCTTATAACGCAGCAATGGAGTTAGCAAAATGTCTTTCTTGATGTCTCTGTTGAACTTGGATGAGTTACAGTCTATAGGCACAGCCTCTGTGCTCTGTGTAAGGAATCTGAAGTGCATAACCAATGAGTTGTTATACAGATAAACTTGGCTGAGTACCAAAACACTAAACCAGTGGGAAAACTTGAACTATAATTTTGAAGTTATCTTGGACCTATACTTTGTCTGGAGTAATTAAAAGATTCAGGAACAATGTATTTGAAATAGTGAAGTGTGATAAGCTTAGAAGTGCCCAATATGCATCTTAAAAGGGGGGCATATATATATGTGTGGTTTTTTTTAAATTAATGTTCTAAAAAAAGGTTTGGGATAATGTAATGTTGATCGAATTTTTTCCTTCACATAATTTCTTTGACGGTGATATTAATTTAGCACACCTACTTCAAATATCAGTGTCAAATATTACTTGATGTGCATGAACAAATTTTACTTCTTTGGAGTGACTCTGTCATTGGTGACTTTTTTGGCCCGCTTATTTAATCAAGCTCATAATTAATTTTAATCCTGTCTTTCAAAGTGTTACCAATCCTGTGTAGATTTTTATTGTCTTCCAACTTGATTAACATACACTCCACACAATTCTCCAAGCCATTACGGAGAATAATGAATAATATTGGACCCAGAATGAGTCTCCCTGGACACATGCAACAACTCCTCCCAACTCAAAATTGAGCTATTAATAATTGCTTTCTCTATTCAGTCTTTTTAGCAAATCATGTGCCTGTCATTTTAACGGTGTCATTCTGCACACATATATCAAGTTTCAAGAACACTGTGTAGACCAGCAACGAATTCCTCACTAAAGTGAAACCTGCACACTTCTTGTATTAAATTATACTGCCTCGTTACTTAGTGTGCTGCGCTCTGTCCCTGCTCAAAGACTTTACGGTAGAAGTTCCTCTGTATATGATCCTAAGGATCTTATAAGATCCCAATGGTAGGCTGACTCTTTGCTAAGAACTAGTGAAAGATCAGGGCTAGCTGTTGTAATGAAAACCTGAACAGTTGAATACCTTAATCATGATGTATAGTTCAGATATTCAGTTATCTTGACTGCCCCACAAATAATATAATGAGAGGTCCTGGAGGACAGGAGAGGTGCCCGAGGACTGGAGAAAGGCCAATGTCACTCCAATCTTCAAAAACGGCAAGAAGGAGGACCCAGGGAACTACAGGCTGGTCAGCCTCACCTCCATCCCGGGAAAGGTGATCAGCTTATCCTGGAGGTCATCAACAAGCAAGTGGAAGAAAAGAAGGTTATCAGGAGTAGTCAGCATGGATTCACCAAGGGGAAATCATGCCTGACCAATCTGATAGCTTTCTACGATGACATGACTGGCTGGGTAGACGAAGGGAGAGCTGTGGATGTTATCTACCTTGACTTCAGCAAGGCTTTCGACACAGTCTCCCATGATATCCTCCTGGGGAAGCTGAGGAAGTGTGGGCTGGATGAGTGGTCGGTGAAGTGGATAGAGAACTGGCTGAATGGCAGAACTCAGAGGGTTGTCATCAGCGACGCTGAGTCTAGTTGGAGGCCGGTAACTAGTGGTGTCCCCCAGGGGTCAGTACTGGGCCCAGTCTTGTTTAACTTCTTCATCAACGACCTGGATGAAGAGTTAGAATGTACCCTCAGCAAGTTTGCTGACGACACCAAACGGGGAGGTGTGGTAGATACACCAGAAGGCTGTGCTGCCATTCAGCGTGACCTGGATAGGCTGGAAAGCTGGGCAGAGAGGAACCTGATGAGGTTCAACAAGGGCAAGTGCAGGGTCCTGCACCTGGGGAGGAACAACCTCATGCACCAGTACAGGCTTGGGGTGGACCTGCTGGAGAGCAGAGAGGGACCTGGGTGTCCTGGTGGACGACAGGTTAACCATGAGCCAGCAGTGTGCCCTGGCTGCCAAGAAAGCCAATGGGATCCTGGGGTGCATCAAGAAGAGTGTGGCCAGCAGGACAAGGGAGGTTCTCCTTCCCCTCTACACTACCCTGGTGAGGCCTCATCTGGAGTACTGTGTCCAGTTCTGGGCTCCCCAGTTCAAGAAGGATGAAGAGCTACTGGAGAGAGTCCAGCGGAGGGCTACAAGGATGGTGAGGGGACTGGAGCATCTCCACTACGAGGAGAGGTTGAGGGAACTGGGCTTGTTCAGCCTGAAGAAGAGAAGGCTGCGAGGGGACCTTATAAATGCCTACAAATATCTGAAGGGTGGGTGTCAGGAGGATGGGGCCAAGCTCTTTTCAGTGGTGCCCAGCAACAGGACAAGGGGCA